AAATGTATCTACAATACAGTTGTGTTATAAATATCATCTACTTACTTGTTTGACATATAAGGTCATTAGTATCATAGTATTGTGTAGAATCACACACACACAAGAGATTGATACAGGTCAGACTTGTTTTACATTGAGAATTAGATGCACACGGACCACTGGTATAGTCCATCCCTGGCATGTTGGGGAGATGAATTAAGAATTTAAAAATTTTATTACATTTCAATCACGAAAAATGATATACAATATTTAACAATTTAATAATTACTCCTGTACAAGGTGTTTTGTGGAATATTAGCATAAAAAGAAAAACAGATAATTAATTGATTATTGTTACACTGATTGCAATAGAAGTCATTTCATCTAATACCAGACGAAAATTTGAAAAATACATTTAACAAAAAAATAATAAAAAATTAATGAACCCCAAGAAAAAAGTTTTTTTTTTTTTTTTTTTTTATAAAACAAAAAAAAAAATTTTTTTTTTTTTTTTTTTTTTTATAAATACTTTATAAAATGTAAGATTGAGCATAGGGGATGGGGCTGAATTTTTTAATTTTTTTTTTAAATGCAATAAAAAAAGTAACAAACTTTAAAAGAATTTCAATTTTTTCTCCCTTTAATGATCAAAAACACAAATTTTTTCAACCCATGAACTATATTAAAATATTTATGACCTAGCACAGCAGCAAGCAGTGATCGCAGGATACAGTCCCAGTGGGATACGGGACCAAAAGTATACAGTCATGATAGCACACAGATAGAAAAGCATGCAAGCCCGGCAGTATAGAGTAAAAACCACTCAATCGGGATGCAGTACATCAGTAAACACTCACAAAAGTCACAGGACCATCGGCATACAATCACACGATGCATTCCTCTCTAACGAGCCAAATCACAGACGAATCTCCCAAATGGTACGAACTGTTTCTATCTAAAGGTTCAATGGCTACGTTTGTCTTGGGGGTTAATTATATTAACTTCTCAAGCCATTGATTCTTAAAATACAGTAATCTTTATTTACACAACTAAATCATCAACTGTCATTACTCGAAGACAATACTACACACTAACAATGCGTCATTTCCCCTTTCGCACAATACGTCACAAAATATCAAACATTTAATAACAACATCTACCCAAACACTCTCCAAACACCACGCAATCCCAATATACATTCAAGTCCTTAATATTCCCCTTGAAAAGGGGTTTGGGAGTTGTTGCTGGAGGTGGGGCTAAAAAATCAGAGAATGTGTTGTCATTAGCAGCCTGTCTACGAGCCAAGTTTCAGCGCGATAAGTTGCAGTTGCAGGAAATGCTTCATTTAGACGTCAACGATTTTCCCACTCCACCAACCAGCCAGTGACGATCAAAAGCGGATTTAAAATCAATGTTTACAAAGAGAGGTCTTTTTGCATAGGGTAATACAATGCATCTAATGTATCCTTTGTATATTGCATCAAATAAATCATATATTAAAGAATCAGAAATACTTAAGATCTAAAAAAAAATGTCATGCTTAAAACATGAAGATTCCTGATTTATTTGCCTTTAGTCTTACAAAATCCATGAAGACTATTTTAATGTCCAGGTTGTCGTTGGTTATTATTGTGTATGTAGTTGGGCATATTTTGTGAGACCGACTGTGGCACGAAATATTAATCTTCATAAGTTGCAAGAAACTGGTGAGACATCTTCAAGCTTTCCTGGATTCTCCATTGTTTTTGCTCTCAAGCTATTCCTTTGTTGCCATATTTTTTTATTTAAAGCTTTCTTGAAATGATAACGCCAGGATGCTTGATCCTTTGCCGGATCTTTCCACAATGTTGTGTTTACATTGAACGCTTTCATCGGCGCTTTTAAGTTAACTTTAAAATGTGTCTTCCGTTCACCAGAAAAACAACATTTAACGCTCGAGCTTGTAGTAAAACATTATTTTGGAAAGAGGGCACCTGACACTCTCGCATCACGCACTGCCAAACGAGATGGGACTGTGTTCGAAAACAAAAACTTAGGGAGCACAGCCGCATTGAAGACTTTTATTGATAGTTGGTTCTTGATAAGTTTAATGGATTTCGCTATTGGTTGCACTTGCTTGTGCAATAAGAGCGTTAACCCCATCATCGATGTTTGCGCCAAGGAACCGTTTGATGCCAAGGGAAGAGAAACTGGTTACTTATAAAAAAAGCTTTTGGCATATATGTTTTCATAAACAATAGAACAAGATATGTTTCGTCTAGATGAAAACAAGACAGGATAATTTGTATTTATTTTCCAAATAAAAAATCTGATGTTCAAATCTGTATTTACTTGACACGACTTGAAAGCAGTCCGTCATATATTTTGCCATATAATAGATCGTTTTCTTCTTCTATATTTTGAGGGCCTACGATCAATGTATTTATCATTTTTGCTCCTATGTTTCAGGGGTGTTCACGATGTAACTGTGCATGGTTTTGAAAGGGATACCTCACTGGTTGCAAGCGCTACTCAGAAATTGTATTATGGACTGGTAGGTGGGAAGACAGGAGGCAATAGATAAAAATGTGAAGTGTAGTGGCCTCAACTGTTACTTTTTGAACCTTGTTCCCGTCCCGTATTGTATTTTGCAGAAATTAGGAGCTCATGTACTGAGTTCTTGTTTTTATTAGCCGGAACTGTATGTCGTGTCCTCACCGCTGTCTAGGGGGAAGAGGAACGAATTGCTCGTTAATGATGGAGCATTGGACCAGCCCATCTTGTACATAATGGTGAGCCTGGATAGTCATCATTGTTCTTCCAATGGTGACAAGCCCAGTGTTACAAGCATTTTGCCAACCCTAGTTGTGTTACTGTAGGATTTCAGGACAAAGCGTGCTCAACATAACATTTTCTAGTAACTGGTTAAGGTGTTACATTATTCATTTTTTTGTTGTTGTTAATTGTGAGGATAAAGATTTCGCCGACATTTTAGAACCTTACAAGACAGCATTGCATGACAGCTTCTGGTCTAGCGCCGAGGACACAATCTTCTGCATACTAAAATTCCGTGATGATATTCACAAGGACCTTGTCTATTGCATGTAGCGTCCTATGGTTAAATACTTAAGTTTATTGATTAATTGCCAGCTACCTGAGATGACAGTGTGTCATCATTGATGGATTTTCGCCCAATTAAAACGCTGTCAAATTTTCAGATAAGTCTTGAATATGTGTTTTTCATTTTAGCAATTTTTTTTTTCTAATTAACTATCGTCCACTTTCCTATCATTAGGAAAATGGACCTTTCATTTCTTTAAGAGCCTAGCAGAAAATGAATAGTGGGGTTCTACAATAATTGCAGATTTTATAGGAAATACATGACCAGCCACTCTATTTGGTAAATCCAAAGGCCCATTCGCTTAGAAAACCATATGCTCTTTGGGCTGTATAATTTTTTAAAACCAGGACTGTTCATTTCCTATAACGTCTGCTCTCCTCTGAAGTAAGACCGAAATTCGGGTACATTCTAATAATCGATTTTAAAAATAATGTTTTGATTTCAATAAAAGGTCAATGTTTTTTGTACTATCAACAGTAACACACAATGTCTACTCCTATCGAGGTATGGAAGAGTAGTGCAAGCAAATAATCTTAATCACAATTTGTTTCTTTCCATGGAAGTAAGAAATGCGTTCCTAAGAGGCCTGCTTACTGTTTCGTGTGGCTCCCGAACATCACTGACACAACTTTAGTGATGAAAGACAATACTGTCAGTGGCATCTCCGTACAGTTTTGAAACCACTGCCTTGTCTTAAGCTTCCCAACATGTCTAATGGAAAATAGCCCATGGCGATAAGTATGTAGCCTACATTACGTTTACCCTAAAATGTGAACAACAGTACTTACGTGCTCTGCAAAAACTATCAACATCTAAAAACTGATTTTCCGTGCACTCACACCGAGTATTTATGCATTCTATGTTGTTGAGACAAGGTATAATCGTTGAACATGTGGCACCATACGATGGCTCTGCAATATTATTATTATTACATAAATATTTTTAATGAATATCTTTTTAATAAAAATTATAGAGCTAGTTTACACGTATAGTTAAGAAATGCATTTATACATTGATATCTATTATAAAAAATATAAGTTCTATCTCCTCAAATAAAATTTGAAAAATGTTTGAAAATGTGTTAATTTTACTCAATATCTGACTGCCACTTGAACTTGAAAGTCTACAATTATACCTTACAAATGTTATACCTTTTTTATCATAAAATATTTGCATCATTACGGACTTTATTCTTCGATGTATCTCACAATTTGTTTAAAGCTATCCGATTATTAAATAGTATTTTTTTTTAAATAGTTCATATTACTAACAATTTATTAAAATATATGAATATACATTATGTATTATAACATTGCTTTGTTATTTTTCGTACCATGTTAATTTTTCTATTAATAGTAACTAAATATTGAAAACATTCATTTTTGGGCAAAGTTTTTAATACATTGATGTTTCGTCAGGATAGTAACAATTCAATGCATTTCTTCGCATTACAATGTATGTCACTAAATATATCTGGAATTTGTTATATAAACATACTTTATGACTAGTACTAACGTTAGGCCTTATTTCTTGTTATTTGTAAATTTAACAGATAACATTGAGGATCACTTATTTAAAGCCTTTTGAGAAAATTTGCCTTGAATTGTCTAACATGAATGCATTTATGAAATGCAGACTGATAATTGCATTTTAAATAAGCATTGTACATTTAAATATCTTCTATCTTCTAAAAATGAGGTAACTTGCTTATGATGAATAAAGGTATATTTGCAATTTAATTTAAATACCGATGCATTAATATACTTTGCTAATAAAATTTTCTTGTTTTCACATCAGAGGTAAGAAGCGACATAGATGACTTACAATGTGATTGGATACTTACTGCTTTTACACGTTTCGTCAAAATACTCTTTGGCTAAACACGTGCAATTTACATCACATGTCAAACTGTTCTGACATTCTCCAGTTGTCGTGCATGCCATTCCGTAAGATTTGCCTGTTTAAAATGGACAGTTAAGCAGATAATTGAAATCAATTTATATCAAATTGCTACTTATGAAATCAACACATGAAACTGATAAATAATAAAAATATACTTAAACTATTCTTCATAAAGATAAAAAACATATTTTTTCATTACTTGTTTTTTCTTATTTACAAATATTTTAGGAAACAATATATTTCACCAAACAACATTAAAAAAAAATATATACATATTTTTGCTCCTTTAAATTGAACACACACGCAAAATATTACTAATCTCTATTTCCAGCACAATTTCCATCTCGAGCCAATGCCATTGGTAAACTCGTATTTCTTTAATGCAATCTAAATGTGGAAAATGTATCTACAATTCACTTATATATTATCTACTTACTTGTTTTACAGATAATGTCATTCGTATCATAGTATTGTGTAGAATTACACACACATAAGTCGTTATTGCATGTCAGGCTCGGTTTACATTGAGAATTAGATGCACATGATCCACTGTTATAGTCCATCCCTGGAGGGTGGGGAATTAATTACGAATTCAAAAACAAAAAAATTAAATTTCAACCACTGAAAAATGAAATATAATAATCAACAATGTACTGATACCTTGTGACAATGTCTCTGATATATATATGCTTTTCAATACCCAAGTAATAGCTAAAACATTTTTTCTCAATCAAATTTACTTATGTCGCTACTGTTATTTTACGCTTCTTCCTGTGTTACGCTGAGATGTGGCATAAAAAGTGAAACATTGAAATAAAGATCATTGTTACATTTGTTTGCAATCAGTGCTGTTGTATCAAATACCAAACTGAAATAAGAAGTCTTTTAATAAATAAAAATTAAACAATCCATAAAAACCAAAGTATTTTTTCTATTCATCCTTTATAAAATGTAATATCGAGCAAGTAACAACCTGAAGAAACTGAGTCCCAATTAGTCCTGCCCACAAAAGCTCAAAAGCGCCATTTTTTCACGCCCCTAAACAAAATTATTATTCTAATGGTCCATGTGCTTTTACACGCAAATGTATTTCACCTACTATTTCAGATAAACAAAAGAAAATAAGCTCCTAACGCACATGTCATAAGAATCTCATCAGGTAAAGTTTTTGGTAAATTTAAGTTGTGAAATCAGTTTCGTCATATTTCATTCATTGTCCTTTTGAAAAAGGGGGTAATTTTTGGGGGGTTGATGTTGCAAGGTGGGGCCAAAAATCTTATAGAAGGTGTTGTCATTACGAGTCTACGAGCAAATTTTCAGTTCAATGGATTGTCGGGAAATAAGTCAAGTAACCTTCTGAACATTTTGCAATCCGCCAATCTGCAAGAAACGAACAAAAGCGGAGTTTATATAAATCATTTAAAAGGAGATGTCCTTTTTGCATTGCGACTACAAGGTATCTAATGTTTTCTTAGTATGTGTCATAAACTATGTGATTTAGTAACTACGTCAAAATTTGTTTATCACTTTTACAATATAATACTTACAATAATAATATTCCTGACTTATTGTTAGACATTCTGATGAAATCATTCAAGACTAATTGAATCATCAGTTTCGTCTTGGTTATGATTATGTCTGTGTTTAATCAGATGTCTCAGGTTACCTACTCTAGCACGAGCCATTCTTGTTAATTATGTGTAATGGATTTGTTGGATGCCTGAGTGAATGGTATTTTTTTTTTAAATACTAAAGCTACTATTTTGTTGCCTATCAGTTGTATGGAGTCTTTCTGTTAATAGGAATTTTACTGTTGCTCGGTAATTTGACGCAACTTTCCGCGAGTCCGTGTTTATATGGAAGGCTTCAAGACACACTTTTAAACTAATTGTAAAATTTTTCTTCTGTCCACAAGAAAACAACCTTTGAATCTGGAGCTCGCCATAAAAAATTATTTTGTTTAGAAGTCGTCTGTCTGACATTTTCACAAAAAATCTTGCCAAACGAAGCTTGCCGAACGTTAAATTTAAGAATGTCAGTTAGCACAGGCACCAATATACCTTTATACCTACATTTTTAGTGCTGCTAACTCTAACAAAACCAATACGGTCTTAGACATTTTGTTAGTGGTTGCACTTGCTCTTTCAAAAATAAGTCAACAATGGTAGCGCTTTGGAAGTGCTTCCAAAGCAGGAGAAACTGTTTACTAATCTAATTTTTTATGGTCTAGAAAAATAAATGAAAATAAAAAAAAATGGCATGACAGTATGGTTCACTGACGCTAAACAAGACATCTCCTGCTCTATATTTATTTACTTTTCGCGGCTTAAACGCAAGTCTTCAAGGCCTGTTGTGATTATTCAATAGCCTACATTACAATTACTCAAACAATGTTAAAAGCAGTACTTACTTGCTCTGCAAAAATTATCAACATCTAGAAACTGATTTTCCGTGCATTCACAGCGTCTATTTATACATTCCATGTTGTTGAGACAAGGTATGGCCGTTGAACATTTCCCACCATACGATGGTCCTGTATTAATCATGGTTACCGGAAATTTGATAGAAAGAAATTTCGTCGACGGTAAATTGATCGAGGGTAATTTGATCGAACGGAAATTTGGTCGAATCTTTTTTTCTGTTCGCAAGTTAACATTTTACTCAAATTTCTTTTTGAACGCACTATAATATTTAGTAAAACAAAATAATTCGTTCAAAAAGAAATTTGATTCAAAATTGTAACATAAAAATTGAAAAGAAGATTCGACCAACTTTACGTTCGATCATATTACCGTCGTCCAATTTACTGTCGACGAAATTTCTGTCGATCAAATTTCCGGATACGATTAATCATATAATACAATAACATTTTTTTAAAAAAGTTTTTTTTATAAATTTATAGAGATGGTTACCCGCATCGTTAAGAAAGAGATTTATATGTAAGTTTTTAGTTTAACAAAATGATCTTGTGAAACAAATATCTAGAAATGTTAGTATTAGTATTTTTTTTTTTTTTTTATGTGACTGCCGCTTAAACTTGAAAGTCGACAATTATATCTGAAAAAATTTAGACTTGTTTTATCAATAAATATTTGGATGATCCCGTAAATAATCTTTAGATTTAAATAAGTCTTACTTTAAATGGAATTATGATTAACTAGTATTAAAAAACAATAAATTTCATATAGCTAACCTTTTATAAAATTGTTTGAATTTAAATTATTTAGTATAGATGATTTATGTTTTTTTCTTATTGAAATAAACATTTTGTTATAAAAGTAAATATTAAAAAATTTCAAAAGTAGGCACATTTTTTAATACATTGATAAATTTCCTAAATATTAACACTTTAATTTAATTCTCCCATAATAACATAAAACACAATGTGTACTTTCATACTATGATAAATGTTAAACATAGTTTTTGTTTGATTTAAAGTTGTAAGATGACATTCAAGATCACTTATTCAAAATATTTTGAGAAAATGCTCCTCATATATTCGGCTTCCATAAACATATTTATTAAATGCAAACTGGTATTATGTTTTTTAAATTAGCAGTGTAAATTCAAACATTGTCTTAACTCTAACAATTACATAACTTAATTATGATAAATATATATTTATACATACAATTGCATTTTGCAATACGTGATCAATGAATTCATATACTTTTCTAATATTATGTTCTTGTTTTTATATTGACGGAGGAGGAAAATTATGTCCTTCAAGGAATTTGTTACTTACTGGTCTTACATGTGCCGTCAAAATACTGAGAGTTCAAACACTTGCAATTCACATCACATGTCAAACTACTCTGACATTCTCCAGCAGTCGTGCATGAAATTCCGTGCGATTTTCCTATTGAAAATAGATAATTAACAACAAGCATGTACATTTTCACGATTTTGACCGTTTATAAAATCGATGAATACAACTCAAAATAAATGGAAAACACCATTAAACTATTTTTGGATAAGTGAAAATAAATATTTCCTTTCTAAATATTTTTTCTTATTTACAAATATTTTAAGAATCATATATACCAGGGGTCGGGAATCTTTTGTCTGAGAGAGCCATGGACACCACATATTTTGAAAAGTAATTCTGTGAGAGCCATTCATTATGTTTAAAACTAATATTTCAAGTAAATGTGTTCATTGTGTGTAATTCCAACACTAAAAATGCAATAATTATGTTTCTCAATTCTTTTTGATATTATTGTTAAGCTGTTGCTAATCATTAATGAGTATTTCTTACCATTAATGCGAATTTTTTTTATAATCAAACATTTGTCTGCGAGCCAGATGCAGCCATCAATGGAGCCACTTCTGGCTAGAGAGCCATAGGTCCCCGACCTCTGATATATACCATTAAATAATTTTTAAAATCTCTATTTGTTCCCTTAAAATCCAAATACCCATACATCAATCCAATTTTCCATTTACACCTTAATTCTGTGAGAGCAATAAACTCGTATTTGTTTGATGTTTTTTAAATATAGAAAATGTATTTACCCTACGCTTATATTTTATATATTTTATTTACTCGTTTTACAGATGAGTTCCTTGGTATCAAAGTATTGTGTAGAATTACACAAACATAAGAGATTGATACAGGTAAGGCTTGGTTTACATTGAGAAGTAGACGCACATGCACTAGTGTTATGGTCTATCCCTGGATGATAGAAACATTTATGATATTCAAAATAAATTCACTTAAAAATGTAATCGAATTATACTGACGGTTTTTTTTAAAGGTAAATCTTAATTCAAGCGAAACAGCAACAAACCAAAAACTTATCTCTAACTCTTGAACATGTATTTCAGTGTTACAATACACAACTCCAGGTTCAATGTTGAAATAAAAGTGGTACATGCATTGTTAGTGGTTAATTTTATTGGGGGAAAAGGGGGCTTACAATTTTGAGAACCCTTGCCCTAGAGCACACAAATGACCAAGATGAATTATTCAAATAAGTTCGCTGTAGCGTAGATTTTTTTAATTTTGTGGTGTAAAGTTCAATTCCTAAGAGAAAATATATTTGTTAGTCTAAATTGTGCTGACGGTATTGTCCACACTGTTTTTGTTATATCTGACTGGTGTGCTATATGTTTCATTATATCTGGCTTGTCCATTCAGGTAAGAACTCTCCATTTTCATTAAGAGACATTGACCTAACTTGTCCCCTTTAAAGTTAGTCCAATATTCCCTCTTTCTTCTTCTTCTTTATGCCTTTTTACCCCGTCTGGGGAATAGGCTGTCCACAAGAATTTTCCTTTCATCACGGTCCTGTGCTTTCCTTTCCAAATGCTTCCAGGTATAAACTAAATTTAAGAACGAACTAAATGATCTTTAAGAACAAAACAAATGATCTTTAAGATTAAATTAAGCGACCTTTTAGAACAAACTAAGCGATCTTTTTGAATAAACTCATCGAGCTTTAAGACCAAACTAACCGATTATTAACCATAAACTAAACGATCTTAAAGAACAAACGGCTCGCGGGCCGAGAGTTTGAGACCCCTATATTAGACGTTTATTTATTAATATTCATGATTATCTCATTTTTTATGAAAAGATTGTAAATACTTATGCTTTTCCCCATCATTTTTGATGTATGCAGAATGTATGCGGGAACGAATTTCAAAATATCTAAATATTTAATCTTCGGGTTCGATTTCGGCCGAAAATTATTTTTAACTTTCGGCCTTTTTTCGGTTTCGGCCGAAAGTCATTTAAAAACTTTCGACCTCTTTTCGGTTCGGCCTAAAGTAATTTTAATCTTTCGGCATATTTTCGGCTTCGGCCGAAATCAGAAAATCACTTTCGGTAGGTCTCTAACTCTTAAAGTCGTCCCCTTATAAAGGGGTGATAATCTCTATAGATATCGCATGTTCAATTATCAATTATCACTTGTGCCTCTGCGAAATTGAGTTGATCTTATAATTGTGTTGTTTTATTTTTTCAATTTTCCATTTTTCCATTTTTGACTATAAGGTATATTCTTATACCAAAAATGGCCTAGATCCAACAAGCCTATGTCGAACATACTTCTGTCAAAGATATGTCATGGAATAAAAATACCCAAACTAAGTTCATTTGATTTTCTTTCTTCATATTTTTTTTTATTTTAATTTAAAAAAAAAACACTTTAAAAAAGTAGAAATACTTTACAAACAAATGTCAATGCTAAATTAAAGTAAGCCAATAGACATGTCTTCTGATACTATGCTCAAAGCAGGGCATGATCGTATAGATAATATGACATCTCTCACGCGTGCTATGAGTTAGGGCTTTCTTTCCATAAGAGGACATATTTCACGTCAAAAGATGTAGAACGCCCACCCCTTTTATTGTTCCTACCATGTTTTGCCATTTTAGGAAAGCAACTTAACATTAGTTTATAACACTAAATATCGTTCTTTGCATAATTCCTTTTAAGAGAATGTAAATTATTTTCTACTTTTCACTATAGGTAATAGCGTCTTAAAATATTTTTTTTTAAAGATATTTTTTAAAGATCTTCCCGAACCGCATCCTCTTTAATCAAATACATCCTTTCCCCTGCTTGCTTTGTTCAAGGTTCAAGGGCAATTTTGTGTGTGTTTTTCCCCACTACAGCAGTGGTTCCCAAACTTCCAAATACCTTTTAATACATTTTCTCATGCAGTTTTGACGCTCGACAATTAATTATTTTCGTTGATACTTTATAAATATGTCATTTCCGTTTCTCTTAGGTGATCCCTGTGTAGCGCTGGTTTAGAACCACTGCCCTTGAGTAATGTTGAATTACCAAATAAACTATTTGCCAATCGTCAACATGATGTGTTCATTTTCTTCTTTATAAAGAACAAAACATATACATTGTAATGTTATTTATGTAACAAACTAAAGTCACTGAGAAGGTCTTTTAAGATTTTTTTTGGGTAACAGATATGTAGATCCATGAATATATGCATTCTAAGTAACTTAATAAAATTTATTTCCCAAATACTTACTTGTATGGCAAAGAAAGTCATCATCAAAAAACTGAGTGTCAAGGCAACCCCATCGATTGTTTATACAAGTTAAAGTGTTGTGACAAGGATATGATGGAGAGCAAACACCACCATAAACATATTCTGGAAAATAAATAAGATGCGATAAAGGTTCAAAAATTTGATTTATTTAATGTGCAATTTATATATATATATATATATATATATATATATATATATATATATATATATATATTTATAAACAAACTAGACCATATGAAGTTGTTGTTTTTTTTTTAAATGATAAATCTTTGGAAAACTTTTAGAATTCTTAAAAATAACACCCTTTAAAGTATAGTTAAAAGAAGATAAATGAATAAAATGTTAAAAAATACTGCACTATTTCATAAAGAAAAGAAACAAAGAAATAATTTATATATATAAGAATGAGCTATACTGACATAAGGCTAAAAACACGAAAATATTTAGATACTTTCGGATTATTAAAAACCATCATAGTTATTTTTTTATTTTTTATTGTACGTAAATCGAATCAATTTAAATGCCCAAAAGTATTGTATTTCCGCTTTTATTTTAGCAAAAGTTTAAGTATTATTATAATAAAATAAAATATATTTGAAGTAACAACAAAGGAACTAAATTAGTATTTTATCGGAATGTAAAAGTTTTGAAAAAAAATTATTAATCAAAATATTATGATCCAAGCATTGCATCTTAATCATATTTATCGGGAAAACCCAAACATCTTTTATTTTTAGTGCGTATTATAGTTAATATTGCCAACAAAAAAAAATAACAATTTCATCTAAATAATTACGTGAATGACGTCGTTGCGCGATTTCCTATTTTAGCCACAGCTTTAAGTTTCATTGATTTTATAATCATGCATGCCAAAACGAATAATGTATTTTCCCCGTGTTAAAAGTAAAATTAATACATATAATAGATAGCTTTTAAATTGCTAAAATTTTCTGAAATTAAATACAACTTTAGCTTTGTATTTTTTAACGTTTAATACATTTTTTCTTTTTATGCATTCCAAAAATATACTTTTATAAAATTTGTAAAGTAGTAAAAGTGAAACCTTTAAATATACCTTTAATAAGAAAACGTCGTTAAATTTAATCAGTGCAGCGAAACTACATAGCCATATAGCCATTCACAAATGCATTCATCAATAATCCAAATAAGAACAAAGCATATGAAATGCAAATATATTTATTTGTGTGGAAATAAGGGGGTTACAATACAATGGATGATTTTATTCATTAAAAAAGAACACCTTAAGGTGGGAGGGAAGGATAATACGATACGTTCATTTGACAAATGCAGCAAAAGATTCGCCTCAGAATGAGTTTGTTAAATAACTAACCTTTTTAGGTACATATATATCGGGGGTATAAAGAGGGTCTGTAACATTTACGTGGATGCCAATATCTTTAATTCAAATGATATCACAGTTTTGAAAAATAGATGCTATATTCTCATTTTACCAATTAAGATAGTCTATGACATTAACAAAACGTAAGTACATTTACATTATTTTACCCATAGATATCAAAACCAAATAGTTAAAATTTAATTTAAAAATAGAGATGGGTTAATATCCTTTATATAGATAGATAGATAGATAGATAGATAGATAGATAGATAGATAGATAGATAGATAGATAGATAGATAGATAGATAGATAGATAGATAGATAGATAGATAGATAGATAGATAGATAGATAGATA